TACAATATAACATGCTCATTCACTGAAAATTTTATTATAAAAACAAAATATCGAACTGCAGAATATGAGCAAAGTTATATTTCACTCTAAAGATATTTCAATCAAAAATTTATTTTGTGAGTTCATGATTTAATCTTTTTAAATTACATAATTTATCTTTGTCTGATTTTTGAAGATTTTAGACTACCAGTTCTTGTGACTCTCAAATTTGTCTGTATTCCTGATACAATATTTCTCATTTTGATTTGCAAAATGTAACAGATACACATTTGTGATGTTGCTATTTTTATTATCCTATTGATATTTTACAGGCAGACTCCTGTTTGGGGCATTTATTTATTTAATCATAGTAAACACCATATATAAGCAAATGACAAAAAGTGATACAAAACTCTATCTTGCTGTATATTGTCAAAATATCACCTGCAGGATTGTAATGGGTGGAGATTGTGTTGTGATATTAGAATAAGTTTGGAAAAAAATCATGGGATGAATTGCATTTATCACTATTAGGTAGAATTTCTGTAATTAAGATGAATATTTCACCAAAAATGCTTTTTTTATTTCAGACATTACCAATTCTTATAACCGATAATCGATTTAAACAATGGTAGAAGGATATTTCTAACTTCATAAGACAAGGGAAAAAAACAAGAATTAGACATAAGCTACTGCAAGATGCTAAAGAAAGAGGGGTTTGGGTCTACCAGACATGAAACTGTATTTTGATGCATGCAGTTTGACTTGGGCAAAAGAATGGCCTCCAGAATAACAGGTTACTTGAATTAGAGGGCCATGAATTAAGATTTGGATGGCATGGTTACTTATGGTATGATAAAGGCAAAAGTAATGTTGATTTCAATAACCATCTTGTTAGATGTGTCATACTAAGAGTTTGGAGTAAATATAAATCAAGGCTCTCTATGAAGTTGCCTCTTTGGGTGTCATCACAGGAAGCCTTCTTCAGAAAAGAAATGATGACAAATCCAGACTGGCTGTTATATGGTAAAATTTTATCTTTCAATTCTGGTGACCCAATAATAAAACCAAGGGAGGGAAGAACTTGAATCAGAAGATTACATATGCCACTGCTTTACCTATCAACAACTGAAATAAAAGTTTAAACTGGATTTTAAAAGTTATGGATTTGACTTTGTTAAAAATGAATTGGCATAATTTCATTATGTGGCAATGATGAACATATTATTGCTAAAATCTAAAAAATGTTATTGAAATTGAATATGGAATTGAATATGTAAAACATTATATGATTCAGTAGGCAAGAAACTTTGGATAGAATGTGATGTTTGAACAATGGGAAAATTTGTGGATGAAGGGTTTAAAATTTACATTAAATTATAATCTAAAAGAAAATTTCTATAAGATTATGTATCATTGGTATTTAACGCCAGATAGAATAGAATAGAATAGATTTTTTTATTGGCCAAGTGTGATTGGACACACAAGAAATTTATCTTGGTTCATATGCTCTCAGTGTACATTAAATAAACGATACGTTAATCAAGATAAGTTATCTAAGATGTACAAAGGTATATCAAATGAATGCTGGAAATGTAAAAAATAAAAAGGGGACCTTTTATCATCTATGGTGGACATGTGATAAAGCAAAAAAAAAAATTGGAGTATGATTCTTATTTTAATACAATTCTTTTTTAAAATGGAGATAAAAATAAAACCAGAACTTTTCCTTTTGGGTTTAATGGAAAAAGAACTAGAGAAAAAAAATTGGAACTTTGTTACTATATATGTTGACAGTAGCAAGACTATTGTATGCACAAAAATGGAAGGATACTTTGATTCCTATTATGGACAAATGGTTGCAAAAATTGATGGTGTTGGCTGAAATGGCAAAATTGACCACTTTGATTAAAGAAAAGAACATAAGTACTTTTGTTTCCACATGGAGACCACTTCTAAATTTCATACTTGATGTGAAAAAGAATGAAACTTTGACTTTGGGATTTACTGATCAGACTGATAGATCTTTATAGAAATGGCTTGTTTATACTATTAGAAAAAGCAAAAAGTTATGATTTGATGTTAACACCTTATTTTACTGTAACAGGGAGAGCCAGAAGTCCATGCTTCTTTTTTTTTCTTTCCTTACTTCTCCTTCCTCTTTCCCTCCCCACTGCTTTCCTATTTACTTTGTATTTTGTATTTTACATTACTTTATAACAATAAAAAATATTAACTGTAAAAAAAAATCTCAGCTGGCTACAGATGCCCCTGCCTTAACCCTTCTGGTATTTCTATAACTACTAATCTAATCTTTCATGGTTAGATTGGTTTATTCATGGTTTGAAGCAGTGGTGGGATTCTATCGGTTTGCACCGGTTCGGTAGAACTGGTTGTTAAGTAGTTAAGCAGTTTGGAGAACTGGTTGTTAAAAGAAATCTCCTTTTGTTTTTTTTCCCCCACTTTACAGAATTAATCCTATAAGGAATTACAACATTCAGTGTTGTTTCCTAGCCTAATCTTTATTGCCCTGCTTACAGAAACTGCCTCTCCAGCAGTATGCTTACACTTACTGTCACTTCCGGTTCCGGAGGTTCTCAGAGGTTTTTTTTTTTTTTTTGCTTGACTTTCTTAAAGGGGAAGGGTTGTTTTAAGCTTTTTACACCACTGTTGGGAGGAAATACTCCCCTGTTGGAGTTCTTCCAGCCAGGGTGCAATGATCACCACTTTGAAGAAATAATTGAATAACGAAGCAGAAACTTTTAATGACAAGGAACCAAGATGAGTGACATTTAGCATGGCTTCTTGGCTAGCTAGAAAAATTGACATTTAAACGTGAGTTTACATACCCTTTCTGACTTTTGGTCTAAAACTGGTTTTTGGTGGTTTAATTCTGTGCTTGGTGATGTTTAATCCTGTGTTTAGTGATGGGATAATTTTCCCTATTCAGCTTTGTTTGGAAAGAAAAATGTTAATCTCTGTTCCTGAAAAGAAGCAGCTTTGGAAATCTGACTAATTCTGTGTCTATTTGTTCTGGTAATTGGTTTAACAAGCAACAGATACTCTGTTTGCTCCTTTGCTTCATTCTGGAGAGTTTAAATGACCTCTCTGCTAAAGGCTGACCTCTGCTGACCTCTCTTCACTTGGCTGCTGATAGTTATCATTCCATTTTAACTATTTTAATTCCTCAAGGTGCTCTGGCACCCTCCCTGATTTGTAACTCTAGTTTGCAGGTATTTCTAATCTAATGACTGGTATTTAGGGCAGCTTTTTGCAAGCAAAGAAGCTTTTTGTATTTTTGTACAGGTAATCCTTGATTTACAACAGTTACAATGGCACTGGAAAAAGTGACTTATAACCGTTTTTCACACTTATGACCATTGCAGCAAACTGTCATTAGGGCAAAGAAGGGATGCCACATGACCACCCAGCCATGCCCACCAAGTCACATGAAGCACCACAGTTGTTAAATGAGTGACACGGTTGTTAAGAATGCTGCAACAGGCATAAATGATGAGCAGTCATAAGTGCGAGAACCAGTCAAAAGTGTGAGGAACTGTCAGAAATAACTTTTTTCAGCCCTCTGGGTAGTCCCTATCAGCATATGGACTACTCAGAGGGCTGAAAAAGTTATTTTTGACTGGTCCTCGCACTTTTGACCAGTCCTCACACTTATGACTGTCCTCACATTTTATGTTTTTTGCCCTATCTTGTCACCATGGTGAAGAGAAGCAGTTGTGAAATGAGTGACATGATTGTTAAGAATGCTGCAACGGGCATAAATGTGAGGATGGTCATAAGTGTGAGGACCAGTCAAAAGTGCGAGGACCGGTCAGAAATGACTTTTTTCAGCCCTCTGAGTAGTCCCTATACACATAGCCACGGCCACTCGGTCACATGATCAGCTAGCCACGCCCACCTAGTCATATGACCTCCAAGCCATGCCCACCCAAACAAGCCATGCCCACAGAACTGGTTGTTAAAAAAATTGAATCCCACCACTGGTTTGAAGGTTTGTTCAAGAAACTCTCATTGCATTGACATTTCAATATTTCAGTTTTAGCACTGAAGGTACTGAACCAAGCAACCAAGGTACTGAAAAGTTTTAGCACTGGTAAACTCCTTCCCAGTTCATATAGCAGAATGTCATCTTTGACAGCCCTTATAATGTGAGCAACATATATTTCACATTTGTTTCACATCATATATTTATTTATTTATTTATTTTATTTTATTTCTATACCGCCCTACTCCTGAAGGACTCAGGGCGGTACACAGCCAAACAATAAAACACATACATACAAAATTTAAAAGTAGAATAAAATCAAATTAAATAATTTTGGCCCCAACAAATTTAAAACCCAAAACTTTTAAAACCAATTTAAAATTGAATGTATAAAATACTAAAAGGTATTTAAAAATTAAAAATCTTTTATAAAAGAGGGAGAAAATTAGGCCAGGCCTGCCTGGTGAAATAGTAAGGTCTTTAAAGTGCGGCGGAAGGTGCGCAGATCCGGGATCCTCCGTATCTCTGGGGGGAGCTCGTTCCAGATAGTAGGTGCCCCCACAGAGAAGGCTCTCCCCCTGGGGGCCGCCAGTCGGCATTGTTTGGCTGATGGCACCCGAAGGAGCCCCTCTCTATGGGAGCGTACCGGCCGGTGGGAGGCTATTGGTGGTAGTAGGCGGTCCCGCAAGTACCCAGGTCCTAAGCCATGGAGCGCTTTAAAGGTGGTAACCAAAACCTTGAAGCGCACCTGGAAGACCACCGGGAGCCAGTGCAGCTCGCGCAGGAGGGGTGTTACATGGGAACGCCATGTCGCTCCCATTACCACCCGCACGGCCGCACTCTGCGCCAGTTGGAGCCTCCGGGTGCTCCTCAAGGGGAGCCCCCTGTAGAGAGTGTTGCAATAGTCCAGGCGGGAGGTGACAAGGGCATGAGTGACCGTGCGTAACGAGTCCCGATATATAAATCTGTTCAGATATTGTCAGCTTCAGACCCTGGAAATCTTGGGTTTACCTACCTATTTGAGACTGAGGGACCATAGTGGATTTACGATCACACAGTGGGGAAAAGGGAAGGCCTAACTTTGCTTCTTTGTCACCCTGAAAAGTAGAAGGAGAGAACAAAATATCACAAGAATGTGAGAGACACAATGTTCATTTTCATAGTCTTCCCTTTCATCCCAATGTTCTGTGATTTTAAATCTCATGCAGAAAAGAACATACAATTTGGCCTAACCATTTTTGAAATGTATAAGTATTACCTAGAGAGAGTTCATTAGTCAGATTTTCATTTTTTTTTACTTAAAACAGCATTTTTTGTTTGTTTGTTTATGTTTTATTAAATTTGTATACCGCCCTACTCCCGAAGGACTCAGGGTGGTGAACAGGCACAGAATAAAATACAGAAATACAAAAGTTAGAAACAATTTAAAACCAAATTAAATAATTTAGCCCAAGACAATTAAAAATCCCAATAATTTAAAACAAATTAAAATTTCAGTTTAAAAATTTAAAAGAAAGAGGAGAAAATTAGGCCAGGCTGGCTTGCTGGAATAGGAGGGTCTTAAGAGCATGGTAGAAAGTGCGCAGATCCGGAATCCTCTGTATCTCCGGGGGGAGCTTGTTCCAGATAGTGGGTGCCCCCACAGAGAAGACCCTCCCCCTGGGGGCCGCCAGTCGACACTGCTTATGAGAGCGTACCGGCCGGTGGGAGGCTGTTTGTGATAGTAGGCGGTCCCGTAAATAACCAGGTCCTAAGCCATGGAGCGCTCTAAAGGTGGTAACCAAAACCTTGAAGCGCACCCAGAAGACCACCGGGAGCCAGTGCAGCTCGCGCAGGAGAGGTGTCACATGGGAGCGCCATGTTGCTCCCATAACCACCTGCGCAGCCGCACTCTGCGCCAGTTGGAGCCTCCGGGTGCTCCTCAAGGTGAGCCCCATGTAGAGAGTATTACAATAGTCCAGACGGGAGGTGACGAGGGCATGAGTGACTGTGTGTAGTGAGTCCTGATCCAGAAAGGGACGCAACTGGCGAATCTGGCGAACCTGATGAAAGATCCTCCCGGTCACGGCCGTCAAGTGCTCTTCTAAAGACAGCCATGAATCCAGGAGGATGCCCAAGTTGCGAGCCCTCTCCGTGGGGGCCAGCGATTCACCCCCAATAGTCAGCGATGGCGTCAACTGACTATATCGGAACGTCGGAAACCACAGCCACTCGGTCTTGGATGGGTTGAGCCTGAGCCTGTTCCTCCCCATCCAGATCCGCACGGCCTCCAGACACTGGGATATCACTTCAAGGGCATCGTTGGGGTGGTCCGGGGTGGAGATGTACAGCTGGGTATCATCAGTGTACTGATGGTACTTCACCCCAAAACCACAAATGATCTCGCCCAGCAGCTTTACATATATGTTGAACAGAAGGGGCGAGAGGACCGACCCTTGTGGCACCCCACATATGAGGGGCCTCGGGGTTGACCTCTGCCCCCCTGCCAACACAGACTGCAACCGGTCGGAGAGAAAGGAGGAGAACCACCATAGTACAGTGCCCCCCACCCCTACCTCTTCCAACCGGTGCAGCATGATACCATGAATGATGGTATCAAAAGCCGCTGAGAGATCTAATAGGACCAGGACAGAGGAGCAACCCCTGTCCCGAGCCCTCCAGAGATCATCTACCAACGTGACCAATGCCGTTTCCATGCTGTACCCAGGCATGAAGCCCAACTGGAACGGATCCAGATATGTCGTTTCATCCAGGTACTGGGGGAGCTGTCACGCAACCACACTTTCAACAACCTTCACCACAAAACGAAGGTTGGAGACCGGATGATAATTAGCCAACACTGCTGAGTCCAGGGAAGGCTTCTTGAGGAGAGGCCTCACCACCGCCTCTTTCAAGGTGGCGGGGAAGTCACCCTCACCCAATGAAGCATTTATAATCCCCTGGAGCCAGCCTCGCATCACCTCTCGGGAAGCCAGCACTAAGCAGGAGGGGCACGGGTCCAATAAACAAGTGGTCGCATTCCGTCTGCCCAGAATCCTGTCCACGTCTTCAGGGGTCACATGATCAAACTCATCCCAGATAACATTCTCAAGACCTGCCCCAGTCCCTCCCCCTGAGACTACCCAGTCGGAGTCCAAATCTTCCCAGATCTGAGTGATTTTGTCATACAGATACTGAACAAAATCCTCGGCTCTACCCTCCAAGGGATCCTCCCGCGCTTCCTGGTGGAGCAGGGAGTGGGTCACCCTAAACAGGGCAGCCGGGCGGTTATCTGATGATGCAATAAGAGCAGCAAAATAGCTACATTTCGCTGCTTTTATCGCCACTAGGTAATTCCTAATATGAGATCTTACCAGTGTCCGGTCCGATTCTGAAAGACTGGCCCTCCAACTACTCTCTAGGCGTCTTTTCCGGTGCTTCAACTCCCTCAGCTCCTCAGTGAACCAAGGAGCCAAATGAGATCGGCGCCGGGTCAGAGGCCGCAAAGGCATGACCCAATCCAGAGCTCCAGCGGCCGCCCTATCCCAGGCAGCCACTAGGTCTCCAGCCGAGGCATGTGCCAGAGCCTCAGGAAATAGCCCAAGCTCCATCTGGAACCTGTCAGGTTCCATCAGGCGCCTGGGGAGGAACCATCTTACCGGCTCCGCCTCCCTGCGGTGGGGTGCAGCGGTTCGAAGGTCAAGATGAAGGAGAGAGTGATCTGACCATGACAAGGGCTCGGTAACTATATCCCCTATCTCAAGATCACTCAACCACAGTCCAGAGACAAAAACCAAATCCAGCATGTTTCCCCCTGTGTGGGTAGGGCCATGAATTAACTGGGTCAGGTCCATGGCTGTCATGGAAGCCCTAAACTCCTGAGCCACCTCAGATGCCTCACCCATGGACGGCAAGTTGAAATCCCCCATGACCATAAGCCTAGGGGTCTCAACCGCCACCGCGGTGATGACGTTGAGTAGCTCGGGCAGGGCTGCTGCCCGAGCTACTCAACTTTTTCTCAGTTTCCCCTTAATATTTGAGAAAAGACTAAAAACAGAAGCAAAATTTGTTAGCCAAAATAAGTGTTCTGCATCTGTGGAATTTTTTTTTATAGTCTTGCCATTATTCCCAGCCAGATGTAAAATAAGCAATTTTTAACATGGAGACAACCATTATGAGGGATAGGCAGCAGTAAGTATACTATTTGTTATCTTTCTCTGATAATTTTCCATCAATAAGCAGGCATATAACTCTAAAACAATAATTAGCACAATTTTAAAATGTAATTAAAATTCAGTAAAGCCACAAAAACAAGGAAGCAGTCAACCTACCTCCCCAAACTCAGCAACAAAAACTGTGTAAATCAAATGTTACTTAGATACCATATTTGGAACTTTTGCCATAGCTTATCACTTCATAACATATTTTGTTAGATAAGATTGCCAGCTAATGAGAAAGGGGGGAGGGGGGGGGAGAATTTTCTTTTCTTTTCTACAGGCATTAATGTCAAGCCTGTGGAATCCCAGAGGAAGGAAGGAAGGAAGGAAGGAAGGAAGGAAGGAAGGAAGGAAGGAAGGAAGGAAGGAAGGACTTATGGGTATGGGAGAAGGAATTAGATTATTTGTGGGTTAGTGTAAGTGGAACATTCAAGCATCTACAGTAATAATATTAAGCATCATATATAATATAGTTATGTAATAAATTTCTAGGACTCTCAGCTTTCTAAACACATTCCTCAGCTTGTCATGATCAACAAAAATGAATTCTTCATGTTACCTGTCTGAAAAATTCTTCTAACAGTGACATGGTCCAGCGATGATGGAGGTTCCATGCCTTGGCAGGATGACTGATGTCAGCTGTGTGCAACATCAAGGATAAGGCTTTTGGTTTTTCAATTCTGAAAAACCAAAATAATGGCATAAATTAATTGCCTAAATAAATAGATTTTTTAAAAGACTGCTAACTAAGGAAATGAAGGTATGCTGACAATAAGCTAATGGACAATAGCTTGTGAAGTTGCATCGAAAACATAGTCATAATAGTCATAGTCAGGTCAGTCTCTGAACTCAAGCCAGTAAGAATATTAGGGAAAAAATATTGGACCTTAAACAAGTAACATTTAGTATTTGCCTTGTCTGGATCTGAAACACATGACGTCTCCATACTTCCTTCTAATATTAAGGGGAAAATGCTCATGGATTAAAATGTAGAAGCTAAGGTCAATAAATATACACGATGATGGCCAGCTATAATTACCTTTTGGTGACATTTATCATAATATGCTTTCCAATACAAAGCAAGCTCTTTCACCCCTTTTATGTTTTTCTACCCAACAGTGTTTCCAGCAGTTACATAAAAATACATCCTATCTCAAAAAGTATACTGTATTTTGTCAAACCTATCTATTTAAGCTGAAATCAGTTCTAGCAGATAAAATCTAGTTCATGAATCTGCAAATTCTATGCCTACATAAGGAAGTTTGGAACTGACATTAGAATTTGTTTTTTTTTTAAAGAAACAAATCCAAGACAACGTTCTGAATAAGAAGGAAGCAGGTTTGTTTCTAAAAGAAGAAAAGAAACAAAGAGTCTACACCTGCTCCTAGTTCTGATCTAAACAATAGATAGTATTCTAACAAGCAAGATATATGATGCTTTTATTGAAATTCTTCTTACATTCATAAAAATGAATGAATGAAATATATGTTTTATAAATCATATCTTATCTACAAAATAAAGAAAAACTCATTAAATCTGATGTGAGAGAAGTTGCTGACAATTTTTTTCAAAGAAAATAAAAGATGGAGGTTGTTTTTATATTCTTGCACCTACCCAGTTATATAATGGCTAAGTAGGATATATGAATGTTCTATATTTTATTGTGTAATCATCTCTCCAGTGGTTTGCTGTTTCAGCTACATACTAAGGGAAAACTTAATGAAAGAAGTTTTCCTACTGTAAGTATTTTCTTAAGACATTTTGAGAGCAATTTCTCTTTCCTCTGTCGAAATTCAAATAAATCATCTCCATAATTTTCTCCATATTTGGTAATGAATTTCAAAAGGGCATTTCTACCTTTTTCTAGCCTCTCCTATGCAATCTTCTTCAATAGGAAAAGAGTTAGCTGCTAATTTGTGATTTTAGTGGAAGAGATGTTTTGTATGCCCCAATAGAACAAAAGTAAGTTTAATGTTTAAATGCTACTCATGTAGTCCATTCCTCATAATGAAATCTTTACAAACTAGATTGCAATTTAATTAGGAACCCAACCCTAAAAAATGCAGATCTTTAAAAGAAAAAAAGAAAAAATACTGTGTTTCCCTGAAAATAGGACATGTCCCGAAAATAAGGCCAAGACTGATTTTTGGGGTGGGCATAAATATTCCCCCCCCCAAAAAATAAGCCCTAGTGATGGGGTGGGCATGGCCAGCACAGGAGGCAGCCCTTCCCTTCCCCGGTCACCTCCTGGAGGTTCAGCCCCTTATTTGCTGCCCGCTGATCAGCTGAGCCAGCGAGGGCTGTGCAACTCAGCCCTGATCTCTAGAGCACCTCCCCAGCTGCTGGCCTTCTCTCCCTTTTCCTGCCAATCTTTCTTTACTTGGGATCGCAGCACAGACACACATCCCCAAAATGCTCCATCTGAAGCCTTCAGCCTTGCAATCCTGGAAGGGTCATCTGTGCTGCGATCCCAAAGAAAGAATGTGTGTGTGTGTGTGTGTGTGTGTGTGTGTGTGTGTGTGTGTGGTGTGAGAGAGAGAGAGAGAGAGAGAGAGAGAGAGGGAGGGAGGGAGGGAGGGAGGGAGAGGGAGGGAGGGAGGAGAGAGAGAGAGAGGAGAGAGAGAGAGAGAGAGAGAGAGAGAGAGAGAGAGAGAGAGAGAGAGAGAGAGAGATCCGATCCAACCTTGGAGAGTTATCCAGGGTTGGCAGCAACATTCTCTCCATCCCCCACCCTCTACAACACACACAGAGGTCCCTCATCCCATTCATTCTTCTTTGCAACGTGCTGCCTCTCACAATAAGGAGAATTGCAGGCAATTCTCTGCAGACGTATCTGGATCCATTCCAGTTGGGCTTCAGGCCCGGGTACAGCACAGAAACGGCATTGGTCGCGTTGGTAGATGATCTCTGGAGGGCTCGGGACAGGGGGTGCTCCTCTGTCCTGGTCCTGTTAGACCTCTCAGCGGCTTTTGATACCATCGACCATGGTATCATGCTGCACCGGTTGGAAGAGTTAGGGGTAGGGGGCACTGTACTACGGTGGTTCTCCTCCTTTCTCTCCGGCCGGTTGCAGTCTGTGTTGGCAGGGGGCCAGAGGTCGACCCCAAGGACCCTCATATGTGGGGTGCCACAAGGGTCGGTCCTCTCACCCCTTTTGTTCAACATTTATGTAAAGCTGCTGGGCGAGATCATCCGTGGTTTTGGGGTGAAGTACCACCAGTACGCTGATGACACCCAGCTGTACATCTCCACCCCGGACCACCCCAACGATGTCCTTGAAGTGATGTCCCGGTGTCTGGAGGCCATGTGGATCTGGATGGGGAGGAACAGGCTCAGGCTCAACCAAGACCGAGTGACTGTGGTTTCCGACGTCCCGATATAGTCAGTTGACGCCATCGCTGACTATTGGGGGCGAATCGCTGGCCCCCCACGGAGAGGGCTCGCAACTTGGGCATCCTCCTGGATTCATGGCTGTCTTTAGAAGAGCACTTGATGGCCGTGACCAGGAGGATCTTTCATCAGGTTCGCCTGATTTGCCAGTTGCGTCCCTTTCTGGATCGGGATTCACTACACACAGTCACTCATGCCCTCGTCACCTCCCGTCTGGACTATTGTAATGCTCTCTACATGGGGTTCCCCTTGAGGAGCACCCGGAGGCTCCAACTGGTGCAGAGTGCGGCTGCGCGGGTGGTTATGGGAGCAACATGGCGCTCCCGTGTGACACCTCTCCTGCGCGAGCTGCACTGGCTCCCGGTGGTCTTCCGGGTGCGCTTCCGGATACGGAGGATCCCAGATCTGCGCACTTTCCGCCATGCTCTTAAGACCCTCCTATTCCAGCAAGCCAGCCTGGCCTAATTTTCTCCCCTTAAATTTTTTAAACTGAAATTTTAATTTGTTTTTAAATTATTGGGAATTTTAATTATCTCGGGCGAAATTATTTAATTTGGTTTTAGTTATGTTTTTTAACTTTTGTATTTATGTGTTTTATTCTGTGCCTGTTCACCGCCCTGAGTCCTTCGGGAGTAGGGCGGTATACAAATCTAATAAATGAAATGAAATGAAATGAAAATTGTGAGAAGCTGCACGTTGCTTATGGGCAGTGTGCAGTGTTGCATCTTCTATAATGTTGACAGGCAGGCCAGGGATTTGTGGAGAGGGGCTCAGCCAGTAGATCCCTGAAGGCAGAACTGGGGGTAAAGGACTCCTGGCCTTCATGAATGGGTGTGCTGTGGGAGCCTCGGGCCAGGGAGGCAGGGACTGAAAGTGGTGAGGCTTAGGACAGGTTCGGCTCGCTGCTGTGCGCCTCTTGACCAGTTTATCTCGAGGGGCAGGAAGACTGCACAATTGGAGCGCTTGGAGAGGGGTGGGCGCAGGGGCGGGCGGGCTAGGAGAAGCACCACGCTGGGCCTTTAAGTGGGGCGGGCCTTCAGGGAGGAGGAGGAGGAAGCTGCCACTCCACCCACCAAGGACAGCCTCCCTGCTTGGAAGCGGAGGGTGGGGAGGGACCGGTGTCCAGGGACCGGGAAAGGCTCGCACTCGGGAAGCTGTGGCCACCCTTGCGAGCTACACAATGCAGGCTCAGCTGCCCCTGCACAGCAGGTACTTCCATGGCCACCACCCTCACCACCCAGCACCTCATCTACCCAATCTTCCTGGTTCCCCTCCACCGTTTCTCTTGCTGCTTTTGCAGCCTCAAGCGGCTGCAAAAGCAGCCATGATTCTTGCCGTCTCTTCCCTTGCCGGGCATAGCAGGTCTTCCTGCCCTTTGCTTCTCCCCTCTCCTCCCCACCTGCCACCCCCAAATTGTGCCCCAAAATAATAACCCCCCCCCCCGAAAAAAAGGCCAAGCCCTTATTTCCAGGTTAAAAAAAATATAAGACAGGGTCTTATTTTCGGGGAAACACGGTAGTAGCTATAAGATATAAATTCTTAGTTCAAGGAATACACAGATTTGAATAATCCTTTTAATTGCTACAGGAAGAATTCCAAAGAATTCTTGTAATTCCTATTAGTGAACAATATTCAATTTCTGATATTAAAATTTGATTAGGATCATGTGGGTACAGATGGATTCAATTTAAATAAACTGGATCCAAACCAGTTAACATCAGTACTTTGAATTGGCCCTGTAATAAGTATAATTTAGTATAACTAATATTGACTAATGTATTCCAGACATTTATCTCCCACAAACATTCTATCAGGGCAATCCGAAATGCAGTGTATTACATTAATTAGTAACCAGTAAAGCAGGGTTTAGCTGAAATGATGCAACTGCATGTGAATCCAATCACTGGAAAAAGAAATAATTATAAGTAACAAATATTGTTGTTGTTGCTGTTGTTGTTTTTCAGCAAGGTGTTTTTAAGGCTCATGTAATAAAATGGCAAAGTACCAGTTATAGTAAGAGCCCTTTCCTCCACAGTGTCAGAAGGTCTCTTACCCTTCTGGCTGCTGCAATGCATTCTTCATGGCTTTGATTTGCTGAAAATGACAGGACATATCTGTAGCCAGCACCATCTCAATCACTAGAGTCCTGAATTCTCTATTGGCAGATATCCAGAGCAGGAAAGAATGAGGAGAGAATGAGAAAAAGAAACTTATAAGAAATACTTGTTTTTCTTTCTCAGTCTGAACATTATTTATGACATTCTTAGTCTTCATTCCCATGAATGGTCACTCTGTCCTTCATGTTATCTTTTTTACCGGGACTTCTGGGAAGGGAGGTATATGCAATTTAATCATATGCTGGGAGATAATAAAGTGCTTTTCTGAAAGTGACCTTAGGACACCTCTTCTGTGAAATGCAGCTTTCCAGAAACATCAAATGGAATATGACACTAAACAGGCAAAATCATTCCTAGAAGAACACATACATACATTATTTGGTTGACTGTTATTCTGTCGAAAGTTCACCCATTATAGTCCAACAACACAGGCCTATGGTTGCATAGATGAAGAAACAGCAGCAGCAGCAAATATCATGCATAACAGGATTGATTGGGAAACTATATGATGGTTATGATATTAGGACTTCCAGTTGGCACCGCAGGCATTGTGGACGGTCTCCTTAGACCGCCAGCCCCGCAATCTCGTAAAAGCCGCTTTGACAGCGCTAATCGGCTGTCTGGCAGCTTAAAAACCTCTCCATCGGGAGAAGAAGGAGAGGAGAGCTGGTGGGTGTGAGTAGAGCTCCCCGAAAGCCCTCTGGAATAATTCCAGAGGCTTGGAGGGTGAGAGCTCCCCAGTTAGCCCACCAAGAAGCTCCGAATCCGGGACAACTCTGTTCTAAACAGAGCCAGACACCGCGACCGATCCTGCTGGCAAAAGTGAGTTTGACTGATTACAAGCGCAGGCAGAGTGGAAACAGGAGAACAAGCTTTAAAAGTAACAGTGCTTAACTCCGGATTTACATTGTTTCTAATTGAATCCTTTGAGCTGGAGGCTGAAGATGGCGCCTTTGTTATGGGTATGAAAGTGAAAGTCAGAAATGAAAGTGCTTATTGAGAACTTTGCACTGCAAGAGTGGATTAAAGCTGCTGGGAAGTGAGAGCTTGTGGAGAAAAGACTATTTTGCTTGATAAATTAGAGACTATAAATTACAAGCTTTTGAAAATTTCAAGGGACTCTGTGGCTGTGAAAGGAAAAAAGATTCTTTTTTTAAAAAAAGATGGCTTCTAAACAAGTTAAGCCAGGAGCTGCCAGAGGAGGAGGAGGTTCTCCAGTGGTGTCAGAGGTGACGCAGAAAGCACAACTTCCGGCTGATTCACAGAGTCAGGAGGCTTCTTTTAATGAACTCAAAGAATTTATAAAAGAAGCCATGAATAATCAAGCTGCAGCCATGAATAACCTAACAGTAATTGTGGAAGGGAAATTAAAGAAATTTGAGGAGGATATAAAGTCAATTAAAGAAGTTGTTGAAGTAAAGCATGATGAAATAAGAGATGATATTGTCTTTGCAGTTTCAGGATTGTCAAAACTTGTTATTCAGGTGGAGGAGAGAGTGGAAGAAATCAATGAAGCCAATTTGAATTTGGAAAACAAAGTAGGAGATATTATTGAAGGAGAGCCCCTCATATGGTATATCCTAACAGTATGCATCACAAAGGCCTTGCTTTTATATCATTTATAACGTATTGCCCTTTATCCTAAATCTGTACTCTCAGTAGCAATCTGTTGTAACTATAATGTTGTAACAATTGAAACCACAAGATGTTCCAAAATAGTATTGTGTAAACCCTATAGGATTGTATACTCATAGACTTCTGCTTTTATACTTTTCCATTATATACTTCTGTATTTGTATTTTTCCATCTTACCCATCTGTATGTATGTATACTGTATTATCCTAAGAGGAACTGAAACCATGCTATGATCATGAAACCTATAAAACCTGCCTCAGGGCGTTGCTCGAGGCTCAGTATTTGTCAGGTTACTGCACTGGGCCTATTGCTAGCAATATTCAATAAAAGCCTGTTTTCTCTGGATCTCCGTGGTCTTGTCTCCTGACTAATTTGGGATTAGTAAATCCCGCTTCATTATGACTAAAACAGAGAAGGTGGATGATGAATTGTTATGTTACAATACAGATCTATGGAATTTGCCCTGAGATTGAGAGGCCTGAAAGAAAATAGTAAGGAAAATCTAAAGGACATTTGTGCTGAAGCTATTGCAGAGATAATTAAAGAAAGACCAGAAGATGTGGTAAGTTGAATTGATAAAATCTATAGGGTCAATTCCTGGCTGGTAAGACAAAGACAGTTGCCAAGAGATGTGATGATTTAGTTTACAACCAGGAGGATCAGAAATGACATCTTACAAGCTTCTTACAAGAATAAGGTTCAAGTGGCTGGGCAAGAAGTGGTGGTTTTGAAAGAGATCCCTCCAAAAATGTTAAGAAGCAGAAAGGATTTTGGCTTTTTGGTAAATGAACTGAGAAACCAACAAGTGCCATACAGATGGGATGTCCCAACTGGTCTAATAGTGACTTATAGTGGAGAAAGATACCGGTTAAACACAGTTTGGAAAGCAAAAGATTTTTATGTTAATGTTCTAAAGGCTGGATACCCACCCTCACCAGGGGGCGGGGGTAAAAAGAAAATGGAGATGCTACAACAAGAAAAAGATGGAAAGTAGATACAAACTTATGCTGAAGTTGCAGCTGGAGAAATCACCATGGAAGAAGATCTGGATCTTGGGGGCCTACCCCCAACTCTGGAACCAACTAAGAAGGGGGAGCCAAGAGAACAATGACTGACCCGAGCAACTTATAAACATCAAGAACAACAATTAAAAGTGCAACAACCTCAAGATTTACCTCAAGAAGTTCAAAAAACAGAAGCAGTGGGGGGGGCTAGGCCGAAGAGTAAGGTGGAGGAGGATGTTCAGCTGATGCTCATGAGACTTCGAAAGATGGCAACTAAATTCCTATCTTGGAATGTTAATGGTCTAAATTCACCACAAAAAAGAAAGTATTTCATTATTTGAAACAATTTAAAAACGATGTCATTTGTTTGCAAGAAACACATATTAGACTATTAGATCAAAAATATTTGATAAATTCAAGATTAGGTACACACTTTGTGGCATCAGCGCCAGAGAAGGAAAATGGGTTAGTTATATATGTAAAGAAAGGACTATCAGCTAATTTAATTGAGACAGATGTTCAAGGAAGATATATTGCAACTGAATTATTAACTCAGACTGGAAAAATGCTTCTAATTGGAATATATGCTCCTAATCAGCAACAACACAAGTTTTATAAATTTTTACATACTAAAATATTACAATGGGATTATAAATCTTTTATATTAATGGGTGACTGGAATGGAGTAACAGATACACAGAAAGATAAAAAAAAGTTTATCAAAGATTTCAACACGTGCAAAATTACCTAAATCCTTTTTTGATATGATGGAAGATATAGAATTGAGAGATATTTGGAGAGAACACAATGTGGAGGAGAGAGACTTTACTTTCTTTTCTGATAGACATCAATCCTTCTCCAGGATTGATTTCATACTAATAATAAATGATTTTATTTCTAGGGTGAAGAAGACGAAGATATGTCCAAGAACTCTAACTGATCATAGTCCAGTTTGGGTGGAATTGGAACAGGAGAGGGGAGAAAGGAGGTCCTGGAGGCTAAATGAAAATTTATTTAGATATGAAGAAAATGTGAATGAGCTTAAAAACAAATGAAAGAATTTTTTGCTATTAATATGCACAAGGGTACTTCTATGGAAATGGTTTGGGATGCTAGTAAGGCTTATATGAGGGGAATTTTAATACATATGAATAATAAACATAGATTAAAACAACAAAAGAAGCGGAAAGAGATAGAGGAAGAAATAAAAAAGAAAGAACAATTACTTATACTTAATCCAGGAGATAAGAAAGTAAAAGAAACAATAAATATACTATGAGAGCAATTTAATATGTTAATGTCTGATCAAGTGGCAACTAGTTTACAATATGCTAAACACAACACATTTTGTAATGCCAATAAACCAGGTAGGTGGTTGGCTTATGGGCTGAGAAAAAAACAGAAATCACGAGTCATTGGTAAGATAGAATTTTGAGGTAAGGAAGTTTACCAACAGAATATGATCAAAAAGGCTTTTTTAGAATTTTATACAAACTTATGTTAGTGATTCAATACAAGGCATAGATATAGATAGATACTTAAAGGAAGAGAATATTCCTGAATTAACGTTAGAACAGAGGGAAGGATTGAATCAGCCAATAACCTCTGAGGAGATTATTGCAGCAATTAAGCAGTTAAAAATAGGGAAAGCTCCGGGAACAGATGGATTAACAGCTGTTTATTATAAGAACCTACAGTCTGAAATGGTAGAACCGCTTAGAGCTTTATTTTGTAAAATTCAATTGGGGGAGGAGTTCCACCCTCTTGGAGAACAGCTTTTGTTTCACTGATCCCGAAGGAAGATCAAAACTGTACCAAACCTGAAAATTTTAGGCCAATATCACTTTTGAACACTGACTATAAAGTTTTTGCCAAGATATTAGGGAATAGACTAATGGCAGTTATGCAACAAACAATTCATAATGATCAATCAGGTTTTATAAAAGGGAGGCAAATGAAATATAATGTTAGACGAATTATAAATTTATTGGAATATTTGGAAAAAAACCACAAGGTCCCTGCAGTGTTCATATTTTTGGATGCAGAGAAAGCATTTGATTGATTGAATTGGCAATTTTTGTTTAAGATAATAGAGAAAATGCATTTTGGAGAGTGTTTTATACAATCAATTAGAGCAATATATCAGGAACAAACAGCACAAATAATAGTTAATGGAGGCTTAACAGATGTTTTTAAAATTGAGAAAGGTACAAGGCAGGGCTGTCCTTTGTCTCCATTGTTGTTTATTTTATCTTTAGAAGTTTTGTTGAATAAGATACGTGACTCTGATAAAATAAAAGGAATTGTAATTAGACAGCAGGATTATAGATTAAGAGGGTTGCAGATGACTTGGTTGTTACTTTATCTCAACCTATATTTAATTTAATTTAATTTTAATT